GCACCGACATTAAGTCACTCAAGATTGTTCGGCTAATGTGTAGATTGTTCATTACATTTACATTTGCAATGTCATATATTCCCCGCCTAGTGGCTGAAATAAAGTAGAAACGCCAATTAGTCTTGGGGGTTGCAGTCAAGTCAGTCTCACATTTTGTCATTCAAACGGCGTCCAACAGGTTTCAGGATAATTTTGATACAGACATTCTATGTACATGTGTAGCTTTAAGACCACGCTGACTGGAAATCTGGAGTTCTAGGTCCACGCTATTGTATCTCTATGTGTACTATGTAATGTATAACGCTTATCTAATGTTGAATTCGTAGTTTTTTTTTACTGATATACATTTGGAGAGGGAGCTGAAAAAGATGCTTCACCTGTTCCCCCTCCCCTTCCACGTATTTGTTGGAACATTTTGATAAACAAATAGAATTAATATAATCCCCTTCAGAGTTCTGAGATCCTGTTATATTTCTATATTGTGTTGATTTGATTATATGGATGACATCCTGTGGATGACAAACCCCAAAACTGATGCGAATGTGAGAATTTAAAAAAATGCCAAACAACTTGCCTTCATTATGAAATCTAGGTGGTCATGGTCATGAAGGTTGAAGAAATGACTAAACACACACGGTAACATTTTCTTGCCATGGTGAATAATAGATTCTTCATTTTTATTCCTTCTCATTTTCTTCTTGTACTTTGGAATGGATTTTGGCATTCTGCGATATAAGTATTTTTTTTTTCAATATTTTCTTTCAATTTACCGCATATACTTTCTCATTTTGCAGATTCTTTGCATGATTTACAATATTGTCAAAAACATTTTTTTAACGGACAAAAATTCATGCGAGCGCGGATGTCATCCATATACTCAAATCAACATGGCCTTACACTCAACCACTTCTTACGCCCAATCTTTGCACGTCTTACTGTAGGAGTTGTTACAAGCTTTCTATATCTTCTAAATATGTCAACGAGTTCCACTCTATGGTACAAACTGTAATTCTGGGAAAATACTTGGTAGTTCCAAGAAAGTAGGTTGTAATTGTAATTGTAGTGGGTTGTATGGGCTTGTGCGAGTAGGAGTTGTTACAAGTTTTCTATATCTTCTATCTATGTCAACGAGTTCCACTCTATGGTACAAACTGTAATTCTGGGAAAATACTTGGCAGTTCCAAGGAAGTTGGTTGTATAATTGTAATTGTAGTGGGTTGTATGAGCTTGTGTGAAGGACACTGGAGTACATGAGAGAAAGTTGGGGCGAATTTTAGTTCATATACCCATTTAATCGAAGTACCAAATGATACAAATCGAGCGACTGCAGCCTAATAATTGATTTTCATGTAATATTACACATTGCTGAAAATATAATCAAATAAAAATATCATTATTGTATGAAGAAATTTATCTCATTTTTTATTTCAAAAATGAATTTCAATTGTCAATGAAGTGAATGTTGTTTTGTTATGTTGTAAAAATTGATTATTTGTACAACAAGGCGCTATCATCAGTATTTCTACTCATCGCGGATTGGGAATTCAATTTCAACTAAATAAATGTAATTTTCGTATTACGAAAAGGTTTTTATGCATACCTCCGTGGTCATTCATACCAGAAAAATGGGTCAAACAAAACCAACTAACCCTGAAAAGTTTCTTTGGCGAAAGTACCAAGGGTTTAATGAATGAAAAATACCTTAGGCAACTCGCCAATCACTTATAACAGAATTCTTAAACATGTCTGCCACGTGACTCGCAAGCTGTCAACACACCGAACAGTCATAAAACATCAAAATCAGAGTTCCCTCACTAACTCATCGAGCACGTGTACATCTGCACTGCGATTGGTTAGGGTGGATCCAGTTTACACTGTGATTGGCTATAGCCCCGCCCGTGCTCACCACGTGATAGAAGTCTACTTGTGCATCACTGTTGCGCAACATCAATTCATGACCCCCTAGGTATTTACATAAAAAGCCATAAATAAATATGTATGTGATGCGGTGCATTTTATCAAATGATTTACCGAATACATAAGCTTATCTCCATTTTGGTTTTAGTGTTAAAGAAAGAAAGAAACGAAAGTTCCTAACAGTTTTCAAAATCTTTATATATGTTTTGTTGTTGGCTTTTAGTGAAGTTTGCGAAGTTTGTATCGCAACATCACACCTGCGGTTATGCTTGTGATTGAGGAGTAACTATCATGATGCTACAGCATCTGGGGTTGACTTTTTAAAAATTTCATCAAACTACTTGTGTGTTCCGATGTTGATATCCATCCCTGGGTATTCTCCGGAACATTATTTGATAACTATTTGCTGCTTGCATCCATGAAGTTTTCTTGACGTCAAACAGCTTTATGTACAGACAAACCTTCAGTACGGGCCAATTCTTCAATTTTAGAGCATTCGACTATAAAACGTTGAGACCCGGGTTCGATCCCGAGTTGTACCCGGGACATGTCTGGACATGCGCCCCGACGTTGTGCCCTTGGCAAAGGCACTTTACACAACTTTTCCCACATCACCCTGGTGTGAATGGATACCTAACTTCGGTTGGAAAAAGTCGCATTGGGGTCACAGAAAAGTGTGTGGACAAAATATATGTATTATTTGATTGTGATTATTGATTGATTCTTATGTGATTGTAAACCGATTGTAAACCCTGCATCAATTCAACGCTACAAACGGCTGCGGTTGCACGGGTAATGTTTGACCAATAAACCGTTTTATAAACTATTTAATAAGAAAAATGGCATATATACGTAATGCCACAAGACACACCTGCACAAAAAGCCCTGGAATTTTCATTCCTTAGCTCCAGCAGATACAATGCTCGCAAAGGGTGACACTGTATCAACCTGCTGAGCATGCTGAAGGGAGACCTGAAGCGCAGAGGGCTAGGCCCTCCCACAACAGAAACGGACCTCAAGGAGCTTAGAGAGCTCGCGAGTCAGAAAGCACTTTGGAAAGAGATGAAGAAAGACTGAATGCGGCCACAGAACACCTCCATACGACTGTAGACGCAGAACACAGTGGATGATGATGATGATATTGATTGATTGTAAGTGGTGGTCGGATAAGTTGGAAAATCAGCATACGTTTTGAACTGGTAACGTTATGCTATTAGATATGGGCTATACACTAAAAAGTAACAGGTGTTCGCTAATTGTCGTATAAGCGATTATAATTAGGCCACAGCAAGTAATTTTTATGGATGACATCAGCGCGCGCATTAATTTTCGCCTGATGTTGGAAAAAAAGATAGAACAAGAAATTTTGTTGTCTTCTGAGAGTGGTCAACATGCCGAAAATGGGCAAAGATGACTGTTGCCATGCCGGAAGGTGGATGGCAGAAAACTATGAAGAGAGGAGACAAGAAAAGGCTCTGAATTAATGTTTTGTTTCTTACTTTGATGCAGTGATATGTGATGCTTGCTGTGTATATGTGATGTTCCTACTGAATCAAAACCATTTGTACAATGATTGACTCAAAATTTTAAAATGTAGAAACCTTGTTTTTTTCGGCCCGCCTTGTTTGTTTTTTTCGCCCGCTCGCATTAGATTTGGAGTCTACGGAGGATGTCATTCATAATATTTACGTGCTGTGGCCTAAGTTTCGCCGCTTGAGAACGACAGAATCGTATAATCGTGGTGCGCACTGGATGATAAATTGAAATATCAGCTCATATATAATAACGTTAACTCGACATTGAATATGTATTATTTATCTTTGGATGGTAGGAATGCGAAAACTTTAAGTTTGTACATGTGTGTTTATGTGACTGTGTTCTCAACATGGGCGGCGAAGCAAGTCACCGTCTCGTAAACGGTCGATGCCATTTGAAACGGTCGATGCCATTTCTCTGAATGGTCGGTGCCATATCCGAGCGTACCATAACTTTTTTGAGGTCCAAGAACGAATAAAAAGGGATATATATACTATAAAAAGCAATATTCTAATTGCAAATATAAGGGAGGTTCATGTAGAATTGTAAATATTAGGGAAAAAACAAAAAGCACAAGCTCAGATTCGAACCCGGGTCCTCTGAGTAGCTCTAAAACCCTAACCTATACCCTAACCTCTACGCCAAGAAACATCACAGTGTGGATGGACCGTGCTGATACACTTAGATTCAGCCGTTCTTCGATGTGACATCGACCGTTTCAAAAGGCGACGACTGTTGACGAGACGGAAATTAGCGGCGGCGGACTATGATCCTGACTGAGTATGAAGGTGGCAAAAGTCCGCACAAATACTACAGAACTGAGAATGGGCCTGGGGTTTGTAGCTATAAAATCGTCATCTTAGCACGATGATACATCGGTCCGTTTCTTTTTTTCTTTAAAAGAATGTTATCTTGCAAATTTATGCTCAGGGGCTAATTAGAAGTACAGAAGAAACATTTGGTATAACAACATGTAATAAATACACAAATTACTACTGTTAACTCCTGAAAACTACTGGATTTGACTTCTTTCTTGAAGACCGAGGAAGACAATTGTGGGGTCGTGTGGCGTAGCGGTAGCGTGTTCGGCCCAGGCCCAAGATGTCGAATCCTGCGCGCTGTCGCCGATCTTGTGCCCTTGGGAAAGGCACTTAACACGACTATCCTCACTTCACTCAGGTGTAAGCTTCGGTTAGGGACGTCCCTCGGATTGGACGTTAAATGGAGGTCCCGTGTTTTGGAAAGCCACACCCGACACACGTTAAAGAACCCATGGCCACCGCATTTACCGAAAAGAGTAGGGGACCTTCCCGGTGTGAGTGGTTCAAACATTACAGTCTGGTCTCAGGTTTGACATCTTGAAAAGGTGATAGTCACCTGTTATGTCAATCCTACCACAAATGTGGTAAATCTTCATAAAATAAAATAAAAATAAAATACAATTAACATCGCGACCTATCACACGTTTCATGATCAACAACGAATTAAACCACTACTTTCCACAGAGCCACAGTTCTACTTGGAATCACAGAAATCTGCTCCCGTACCTGAATAAATGGCACCAACTTGCACATGAAGTCTCCCAGTATCCAGTTCTTCAGCATGTTTTGCATCAGGGTGACCGGGATACAGAAGATGGTGATGAGCAGATCACTCGCCGCCAGTGAGCAGATGAAGATGTTCATAGTTGTCCGCATCCCTTTGTTCTTCCACACAACAAACACCACCAGGGAGTTCCCGAGCAGAGCCGCCAGAAAAATCACGATGTAGGACACCAGGGTGACTGTCTTGGCACTAGGCGACAGTTCTGTTACATACACCCTAGGAGTGAGATTGAAGGCACCTATGAAGTCTTCCCGAGTCATGTTATACTTGTCCAAGATTTCCTGCAAGATTTGCGGCGTTATGTTCCCCAACCACGTCATGGCGAGATCGCCGTGTTCTCACCGGCAGGGTGAACTGTGCAGCCCGCTGACTGTTCTGTAGTTCACTCGGCACAGGTGCACGCACTTCTGACCGGCTCACAAATCTACAGCTAGCGGTACCGTTATTGTGTTCCAGCCCTCAACAGGTAGGTAGAACGAAGATATAATCTACATTTGCGCGAATGTTCGCCGCGCGCCCCGTATTTCGCTACCGTTCTGCTCTTGCTGTATAGCAAATCATCCGGACAAATATCCTTTCGTGGGCGGAGCACGCGAGACCAGCCAGCCAATCAGAACGCCTGACAGTGATGACGGTTGGGTGCCATGGCAACGCCGTTACCTCTACTCAGACAAAATTGAATTCCACTCCTGCGAGCGGAAATAACACCCTTTGAAATGAAATGGAAGATACTGTCGGTATCAAGCGGGGGTAAGTGAGATTGAAAACAATTTTGTACAATGCTGTTCTGAATTTATAATGAGCAATGGCGACTTGTACTAAAAACGTACGCGTAAATGCAAAATTGTTACCTGCTTTTTGAGACAAATTTTGCGTTTGCTTGTTGTTACCAGTGGCAACATTCTACCGACGACCACAACATTTGTAAATAAACACCCACACAGCGACTGATATAACATAATTTCATTAAGAAAATTGGCACGACGTACATTTACATGGTCTTGAGTTGCAAACATATGATACAGCGCGCACAATTTCCTGGTAATCACAGAACAGATACGTAAAATAAGACACGACCATATGGCCACAGGAGGAGCGGGTAGCTGAACATGTAGGCGGCAAACATCAGTAGTGTTTCCGTACTCAATTTGATGGGAAACTGTTTTCGGGAACATCAAACTGGCTAGCCGTCTGGCCGAAAGCTACCCTGAAATGACTATGATGTTTCGTTGTGTGTTTATATATAAATATTTTGTCAAAAGAGTATGATGTTTGTTTGTTTGTTTGTTTATAATAAGATCTCCATTAGTATGGCAAATTCCATACTATTCTTCCTGCAGTCCATCAACATAAAATAAAGTGATAATAATAATTACTTTTAGCAATAATGATAATAAATAAAACATACAAAATTATGCTGAAATTATGACAAACTTGAAACAAAATCAGCATAGAGAAATAAAAGTGCATTGGAGGTCAGAGGTCAAATAATAGAAATAAATGTCTGAAATGAGAGTAATAATTGATGTACTTGTCCAATCAATGGAAAATTGAAGTGACAAAACAGTAATAAAAATGTCTAATCATCAAACCCAGAGGAGAATACTAAAAAAACAAAGATATCTTAACGATTTGCATAGCAAGCAAATATGCGGGTGAAGCCTTCAATTGTGATATTTGCCAGCAGGCGCATGATATTTTAGTCCCATTGATAATAATAATAACACCTACATACAAGTAAAGCACGGTCTCTAATATTTTGTCCAAAACGGACTCTTTCTTATATCTATAAAACTACTCATCGTTATGGATTTGTGGCCTCATTTCTTTCATAATATTTGCACATTAGCCTTTGAAGTATACTTTATTTTCCATGGACAGATCCTGCCGGTCAGTCATATACGTCTTGCATTAACCTTAATAAGTCGCAACCTTTACCCGTTTGTTTTAGCTTTATTGCTTTGGTTACCATAATCCACGAGGGAAAACAATGTTTTCTGGGGGAAGCTAGAAAAAAAACCCGATGGCAGGGATAGACTGGTCACTAATATTTCTTCTTACTGGCTTACCGGTCTCTTGACCGGGGGTGGACGTGGGTAGTGCTAAACCCACATTTAGGTACTGTCCGGATTTAAGTCCAGAGGTTTCGGTTCAGTTACGGACTTAAGTCCGGGCCTAAACTAAACCAATGTCATATACAAAATTGCATATTGGCAACCTTGCAATGTTGTCTGGGTAAAACTGTGGCCACATAACATGGAGGCCGACACTTGACGATGCCCGGAGGCAATGTTTTCTTCATTTTGCAGCACAGATTTTACAATCTATGGATGATTTTAGGTGGTTTGGAACAAAAAGGGGTTAGTGACATGTTTTTTTGTTTTTTGTAATAGGTCCGGTACTGGTTCTTGCTCTTTATGTTTTTTTTTGGACTTGAACCTAGGTAACTAAACATTTTTACAAGTCAGGAACCGGTCCAGTGAACCGGTACACAGCACTAGTTGTGGGGGCAGCTAGTGGCTGAGCACACTGCCTTCCTCCATACTTCTCTGTCGTGATCCAAGGGCAGGCGCGGTCCATTCCTTCTTCGCTAATATTTCCTAACATGCTAATTAAGTTTAAAGTGTCAAACGGTAATGATGATTATATCTTTAACATTGAAATTGCTGTTTCATATACGAAAAATGGACTATGTTGTAAGGGTGTCACTATTCTAACATTCATTTGTCTACAAATTATCAGCCAAATTACATTGTCAAGTAGCTAACTGAGTGAATTCCACTTCTTTTCACTTCTTAGTAATGATAAAAGGGTAAGAACAGATACGTTATCTAATAGACCACGGATGAAGATAATCTTCATCTATAAATAACTTGTTTATCATGTATTCTTAATGCTTTCAAATTCCCCCTGTACCTATACCACGTAACTGTATGCATTTATGTCACGTTGTTACGTAGCAATTGCATTTGGTATTTTGAATTTATCTTGACGTCTGCGCGTGTTTGATTCCCGTGAACTCCGGGACTGTACTGGCGTGTGTGAGGATTTAGTCCTACCTCTGTGACTTAGTCTTACGTGCGCAGATACACAGAAGTGATTGATGTTTATAGAGTTGCTACGATATCTGCTGCAGAACACACACCCACACCGCCTCAGGGCCTTACCGCGCTTTATTTGCAGCCATTTACTGGAAGAGTGCTCTGGGAAGAATTTCACTTTACTCCGAATCACACACGGGTGCCAATTAGCTGTAGTACTACCGTGGCGAGGATGTCTCCTCCGTTACATGTGAATTAAGATCCAGATATTGGAGTGTTTTGAGTTTGCACACCCAAAGCTCGGTCATTTCATTAGGCCACAGTAGGTAAATTTTACGGATGACATCCTCCGCAGACTCCAAATCTAATGCGAGAGGGCGAAAAAAAAAACAAGGCGGGCCGAAGAAACAAGAGTCCTACATTTTCAAATTTTGACATCATTGCTGAACAAGAAATGATACCTATATTGTGCTATGTTTACTGCCAACTATTGCAACATCCATTTCTCACTGAAACAACTTAACAAAATAAAAGATTTTAATCACTGTACAATCACTGTTTTGATTCAGTGGGAACATTACATATACACACATTACATAGCTACCATCACATATGAAAGGAATATAATACATCTCTGCATCAAAGTAAAAGAAAAAAAAATTAAATCAGAGCATTTTCTTGTCTCCCCTCTTCATAGCTATCTGCCATCCATCCACGTTCCGGCATGGCAGCAGACATCTTTGCCCATTTTCGGCATGGTGACAACTGTCAAAGGGCAACAAATCTTTTTTCCAAAATTAGGCCACAGCAAGTAATTTTTATTGATGACATCAGCGCACGTATTGATTTTTGCCTGATTTTGAAAAAAAGAAAAAAACAAGAAGTTTTGTTGCCTTCTGACAGTTGTCAACATGCTGAAAATGGGTAAAGATGTCTGTTGCCATGCCAGAAGGTGGATGGCAGATAACTATGAAGAGAGGAGACAAGAAAAGGCTCTGATTTGATGTTTTATTTCTTACTTTGATGCAGTGATATGTGATGCTGGTTGTGTAAATGTGATGTTCCACTGAATCAAAACCATTTGTACAATTATTGAGTCAAAATTTAAAATGTAGGAACCTTGCTTTTTCCGCCCGCCTTATTTCTTTCTCCCCCTCGCATTAGATTTGGAGTCTACGGATTATGTCATCCATAAACATTACTTGCTGTGGCCTCACGTGGAACCTGTGTGTGTGTGTAGGCGGCAGACGTGCTGCAGCTCACATGAACGTTTATCTAAAGGTCAGGCAGACTGGAGGCAAACACCAGTTGAACCTGGCTCCAGCATCACTCAACCCTTTAATGCCTGCACGGTCTGATAAAAGTACAGCCGGTATTACAGCTGCACGTACAAGGGGATTGTCTTCTCTCCAGGGAAGTACCAAGGGTGCCTCACGAGAAGGAAATAAAAAGCACTAAAAGGCGCCATTGGCCTTGCTAAAATCGTTCCTAAAACTATTCCGCATTCTTCACCTGTACCAACGCACGTGCCAATTTACTTTTACTTAGAGGATCACCTGATTTACATCCAGATACAAACCGCAACATTCTGACAATCACCCGAACTTATATTATTGATACTAAACGGTTTGTATTAGATTAACTCGTACACAGCCTACAAAACATGTTCTTCCTTACCATTTATTGATCTATTTCTACCCATTTGCTGTTCTCTGTTGTTTTTGTCATGTATTTTGTCACTGTACATACTTGTTTGTCTGGTGCTGAGGTTAAAATTAGCTATATACCTCACCTCCATGTCCTGTATCATGTTGAATTGCAAATAAAAAAAAGTATTTAATGGGCCAAACAGCCGGTTTAGAGAGTAGAGTATTCCGTATGTTGTGACAAGAGGGTCTTTATTTTCAAATTCATGGTTGTTGGCTATAAATTTAGTCGGTGCGAGCAAAAACAAGAATTCGAAGATCACATACCTCCAGGAAATATCTAGAGCTTGTTTTTAATATACCTCATTGAATATGAAAATAAGGTTATAATTGGCATATTCTATTTTAATTCACGATTTTATTAAGTGGAATTACACATATTTTCATGTGAAAGTCCTTTACTATGTCAATGATGCAAATGACCCCCTCATTAACATAATACATGCGATGTGTTGAGTACCAAAGTTGTCCCTCTCATCACTTGAGAACTGTGAATATTTGTTATATGAATAAAGTTGGTGTAAATAGCAAGAAAATAGCATTCCGTCTTTATACAAAGATTTTTCCAACGCTTTATTGACATTGACTTAAAAAAAATACTAGATCATTGGAATGCTACAGGGAATCAGTCCTGATAGCGGTCGCTGATGATGTCACACCTGTTGATGTCCATTAGGCAACACCAATTTAATTTGTTGGTTCTCGGATTTTTTAAGAAGAAATATGAAGCGAAAGGGCGAAAAAAATGAATACAGGTTTAGGCATCATAGCCCCAAATGCTACAAAAAGAGTCATGAAGTCAAAACAAAAGGCTGGGTTAATATTCAAACAATGAATTTTGAACTTTTAGTCAAACCAATGCATTGATAGATGGAAAAACTGTAACAACTAGGAAGAAAAGGACTTTCCTCAACTGTTCGGTTTAAAATATGAGCATTTTGAGTTGATTCAGGGGACTCACGGGATCCAAATTTGGGCGGCATTTCTTGACGTGGAGCGTCTGTCTTATCGATCGAACGTGTGCTGGGTTAAAGTTCCCAAGATGCCGGACAGATCTCTGTGGGCGAACTTTCTTTGTGTTTCTTTGTCTTTGCATCATCGACTGTGAAGTTTTAATCGATCTTTGTCTTGCTATAGAAAGCCGGCCGAACGTATAGACAGATATGAATCACATGTTCTATTCCAGTGTGTCACAAAGTACTAGTTTTTCTGCCTCAAAAAGAAAACCTTTTAACTCTGAGAACGAAATACGGAAAAAAAGAACGAATGCTTGGAAAGAGGTTTAATCGATATTTTGGACGCTCTTGAAAAAGTGGCGAATCCAGCTTGGGAACTTACCCCTGCGTTACGTCACGTGATAGCCGGTTGACCCTTGACCTTGATATTCGATCAATCACCATGGTAACACGAATGTAGAAAGTTCGAAAACTTATGAATACAAAACTTATAAACTTATGAATAAAACATAAAGTAAAATAATTAAAAAACAAAAGAAATAATAGAAAAAATTAAATAAATAAAAGTTAAAAAAAATAGAAAAAAATAACAATAAACAATGAAAAAATAATAAAATAAAAACATATGAATAATAAAATAAAACATATGAATAATGAAATATGAATAAATAAAAATAAAAAAATAAAAAATAATAAAACAAGTGAAATCTGTATATTTTTATATAGGGTTTTAAACAAAGAATTTATCGAGACCGGACACCCCTCTGTGTGAGGGGTCATATACGTGGACCAGACCGAGAATAGCTTAAACACGCCAAAGGTTAACGGTCGCGACCACTTTCACGCTCAGAGGGGTGTTTTGGGGCCACCAAAAGGCACCATTTTCACGCCCGAAAACACATATACAATAAAAAGAAAAGAACGTGCATCATCTGCAGCCCAATAGCAAAACATATATCGAGTCTCAAAAGAATCCGTCCACCCAAACGCGTGAAACAGTTGCGAACATGGAAATCTAAATCTCTCACAAAACCCTTCCGCGGAAGGATGTCTCCTCCCCCGGAGGTAATAACACTTATAAATACAAAACTTATAAATATAACCGGACTTGGCCTCTAAAGTTGACATAAAAATAAGATCAAAGAAAGTGTCGAACTGAGTGCAAATCCTTTAGGCCACACCAAATAATTTTTATGGATGACGCCCTCTAGAGACCCTAAATCTAATGCGAGAGTGCCAATAAAATAAGAAGGGCGGAAAAACAAGATGCATAGATTTGAAATAAACTTAGTTAGTGCAAAATGTTAGGGCACAAATTGAATGAGAGAGCACAAAGTGAGAACCAACAAGTCTTTTATTCCTTATGAAAACAGCAATAAATCAGTTGAACAGCAGTTGTCACCCTGTCCTGTTTCTTGTGCTCATATGTCGCGGTACGGATTTGTGGTACTGTCGTGACTCTTTGGTCATAGTTACAGGAATCAGAATTTTTTTTTGGGGGGGGAGGGGGGGGGGTCAATACCCGCGCGGACGCCATTCATAATAATTACTTGGTTGGGCCTTACATTGTTAACTTGAGTGCTCAAGACACCCGAAATTCTTATCATAATCTATTACCGACGTTTGGTACTGTATAAGAATTTTATATAAGACAAAGCACGTAATTGTTAACAGTCTGATCACGGAATGTTGCTTCAATGTTGGTGCTTAGATGAAAAGTCAGATATTTCATACGACACCATAACATGTTCATATTATCTTCAACAATTTCAGTATTATTCAAGAATCACAGATTGTACCATTCTGAAGTTAGGGAACATCAAATCTTTCAAATCATTATTCCCAAGTCTTGACGTTTGCCGCGAGTTAATCCAATGTAATGTTGACAATGATCATGACGTCACTAATCTGGCATCACGGCTCACGGAACACGTTGTTTTGACAAGAAAACATAAGCAAACAATGTGATTAATAATGTTGCTATTATCTGTAGTCACGACAGCCATGTTTTATTTGCTTCTCAAAATAACGTAATTTACGAGCCGCGGTGCCTGGGTCTGAACTGGCTGCCATGCTCACTGTGACGTCATCGGCAACATGTTTGAAATTGAATTAATTGGCGGCAGAAATCAAGAACTAAACGGACGATTTCAAGATTAAATGTTCCTAACACCAAAACTGTGTTTTTGTGTCGAACGCCTTTTTTCATTGAATAATGATACTAATAATAATAATAATACATATTATCAAGTTTAATTTCCTAATCTTCCGGAAACTGAAATGGTTTATTGAGAATAAAAACACTGACAGCCTTACATAGGCTGAATTGTGATTTTTTAACAATTCAATGTCATCTTAGACTCATATTGACAACATAATAGACGGAACGCGGGTACAATCAGTCATTATAAATTAAAATACCAGACATTTTAAAATCAATTTGTGATCATATTCTAAAACGTTTTGCTCATAAATAAAATATTCTGTATACATGGAGGCCGCACAGATATTTACATGTCATTATTCAACAGTCGTACACAGAAGGGAAAAGTGCTGTTCTGATACCGACCAGTTCTGCATTTGTACTGAGTGAAGAGTGTTAAGATTTTGGTCAGAACAAGTATTTTGACTATGTTTTAGGAACTGGTGTGTGTCCCATCGGTGTTTTTAGGTGGATGAACTCATCAATTAGGTTGCGACTATCTCGTCAAATCACTGGCATCCCTACATCCTCCTATATTTAGTCAATAGTTTTCTTTGGCATGATTGGCCCACTTACTAAGCACGTTATGATGGCGAGGCAAAATTCCGCCCATTTGTATGAGCTTTAAATACATTCAACACAGTCTGTCTGTGAAAGCCTGAGTTCCGCACACTTCCTCCCATCTAAAGACGTTATTGTGAAAAGGCCGTCCTGACATCTCAAACATTAGGTAAGGCATCCCAACGTCTTCCCAGCCAGTCATTAATATGCAAATCATAATGCTCCGGCAGGAAGATCAATAATTATGGAGATAGCTTATATGAATAAGTATGGACGTCATAATGATTTAGTTTTGTACTCAGAACATCTTCATTTTATAGCTATGACTTTTAGCAGATATGATCTGTTGAGAAAGTCAGGATCGCCTGCTCCATGGTGCCTCTAACAGCGGCACATACCGCCTGGCCACCCGGTGTTTTTACAGGCTGGGTCTGAGAACGTCTGGTCTTGTTTACGTTTGAAGAAGGAAACCGTTTTTTTTTGCATCATGATACACTTGCTAATATATCATTGATTCTTCTGGTGTGTCTACATTTTAATACATGATACTGATAATGTTAACTACTGACCAAATCGTCACAATGCATTATTCTTTATCTGTGATAAAAAATGAACAATTGTGACTGCATAAGGTTGAGAGTCTATATTTTTAAATATCTTGTCAGTCAATAACAGCGCAGTATACCACTATTATCTTCTGGTCATACAACGTTGGAAAATGGACTATTCTTCAAGTCTGTTTTACACAAATAAGCAGCACTCACACATATCTTTGTCTTTATTTAGATGAACGCTTGACCTTTTAAATGGAACAACTGTGCTCGTATAATCTGCCGTGAAACCAGGAAAGATTGTTAGAAAGCATTAAGTGCTTAGAGCATGGTGTATTGAAAGCCCTACAAATCCGGTGTCTGCTCACAAATGCATTTGGTAGCAGGGGGATTTAGATTTCAAATGAAACATTGATACCACATCATTGTGAGTAGATTCTGTGTTCTTGACTACGAGCTAGCAAAACCAGAATTGACGTTTTGTATTCCTGGAAACGTGAAGTATAGATACTGGGTCGCCTTTGCAATAAAACTATCGAATGACAACTGGTAAGCATGCTTTTAGATATCTCAAGAGAACCTGAAATATATTTACCGGGTTCTGTCTTAACGTTAATGCTGAAAGGAATACTTTTACGGTATTGCGTTTAAGTGTGCCAATTGATTTTAGTTTTTAAAGGTTATAGTGAAGACTTTTTCGTACCAAGGAGGTTAATACGCCACAACGTCTCGATAATTTTAATGGATATCACCGCGATTCATTTGTAAAACTAAACAAAAAGAGAGAGTGTGGGTTTGATGAAAATCTGCTGCATGTATGGTCATTTCTTCTACTTCAACGCTCAAGTGACCAACATATGATCTTAGAAAATCATGCGATGTTAGCAATCAACATACCCGCTTTATTCTATCACTAAGAACCTGAAATTCAAACAAAGATTTTCTTTTGTTCACAAACGCATTTTGCTTTTACCGTCGGCACATATGTCCATGTACTGTAACGTCGGCGGCATTCGTATTACTTGGATCAGAAACAATCGTGGTCGACATTTTGCCGTATTTGAAAAACTGAACTTTTCCAACATTCTCTGGGCAACAGAACAACTCAACTCAGGCACAAACCGAAACATGATTTCACATCTGCGTAATCCTGTGTCAGTTATTAAAATCCGTAAATTTTCATAGTCATGTACTATAGTAGACATCTGTGTCAACAACAACACCAACGCACCAACAGCTTGATTGACTGCATTGCTGCCGGCTGAATATGCGAGGTTTGTTTACATTGCGTATGTTACAATACGTGTGGTATGTGCGCATGCTTTAATCATTAAATACACCTAAACCTACTACCGATTACTAGGTCTTATGTACTTGCTTGTTTTGCGATAGGCCAAATCGGATCTATGATTAGAATAATTTCTCCACAATCCCCTAAGTTTTAAGTATTGCTACTGAAACATGTTGCCATGATCGCTTATACACATGCAGTAGCCTCGTTTTCGTGCAGACATTTTTCCAAGAATTTCTGAAATGATATACAGTTTGAAATATATGTCATGGCATAGAATTTCGTGTATCGAGACGTAAGAAAGCCGTTGAATATCACATATAGAAGAGTAGGGCAAGAGATCAACAATAATGGACAAGTCGAGGTTTACTTGTTAGCTCGCCATGTCCTGAGAGTGTCTTAAACGTGTCCAGCTTCTGAAAGCCATTTCTTTGCCTATGGCCACACCAATTTCATTTCTTGGTTAACGGATTTGCCCGCTTCATTTTTTTTATTTGCAAAAAAAAAAAGATATCAGAATCAACAGCAAAATGCTCATATTTTGCCCTGAACAGTTGAAAACAATCATTTTCTTACTACTTGTTACAGTAATTCCGCCTTTCAATGCAATGGTATCATTAAAAGTTAAAAATTCATTGTTTAAATTTTGAACCAGCCTAGTGTGTTGACTTCATGGCTCCTATCGTACCATTTTGGGCCATAATAGGATGCCTAGGCCTGTTTTTATTTTCATTCTTTTCGCCCGCCCGCTCCATTATTTTTCTAGAAAAATCCATTAACCAACAAATGAAATTGGTGTGGCCTATGGGATAGAGATATAGGCACAGTAAAATTTTCTTGAAGATGATAAACAGAAAACTATCTTGAGTAGGAAATGGTTTGGCTAGGGGGAAGATATCAATCTTGTAGTTGTTGACATGAGAGAGAATGGTTTATTCGCAACCTTTAAAAATACACTTCGAACAGTTCACAGATGTCACACATAGGCAGCTAAGTCGATTTAGCTGAATTGAGTGTGACGTAACATAGAAGCAATTAGTTGAAACATAGAAGCAATTATACATTACAACAAAAAATCATCTTAGAAACGAGCTAAAAATGTATATATTTATAAGGCTCTTGTTAAAAATTACATTGTGGCATCAGACTTAATTGATTATGTGATTATGAAATGCACGTTGCAGATATGTTTGTTAATCCTGACGTTGTGAAATGGGGACCTCTTGAGAAGAACATATTGTTTCGTATAGGCCCAGGAAACCGAAATGCATTGTTGGAAGGGCGTGTTTCCTCCTCTGGTATAGGCCACTGCAGGGCATTCATAATTGGTAACCGTCTGTCTGGATTCTCCACTAGAACACCTTTTGTCCTTTATCATTATTAATGTGCCATATAGCTGACTACATCCCGCTAGTAACCTGCAACTGGTGGTAATGGTTTTGTTACCTACACGAAAATGTAGGTATTGTTTCTGGTCTGTGTGTGTGTGTGTGATTCTGCATACTTGTGGTCAGCATAACTTCAGAACGCATTTATGTAATGTGATGATATTTGGTATGTTGGTAGATTGTAGCAAGACAAAAGTCAAGGTCAAATTTGGGTCTCCTACTGGCTGACCTTGGCACTGCAGCAGAACTTCCGGTTTTTGTATCTTTTGTCCTGAACATGCTATGGTAGTGATAGCTTTTCATGTCAGAAACAAGTCGTATCGGTCCCCCCCCCCCTTAATAGCTTCTTTGTCCCAGTGTGGGTCATGGGACTAAGTGGGTAGGTAAGTAACAACTTTTGTCATGTTAAAGTACCACGTTAGTCGTACATGTGGTGTTGTTTTGTTATTAAGAGGTTTCTTTTTCTTTACTTTGTTCTGAAGTCATTGTTGCTGCCCACTAAGTTTACATCCATGACTAGAGTTACCTTATACATTTGTCCTGCAGTGAGGAACATAGATATGTTCAGTGCGTGTTTGTTTTCCCTAATCGGTAAACCGCATTTAGGCGTAACACACCAGTTTTGTACAGTACCTACAAATTGCGTATACGTAAGGCCTGGCTGTGAGGTTTGTGCCACACACCGGGAAGGACCCCTACTCTTTTTTGCGGTGGGACCTTTAACGTGCTCAAGCTGAGACTCCCCTCAAACACGGGGCCTCCGTCTTACCCTAGAAGACGTCCCTAACCGAAGCAAGGTACTAATTTTACCTATGTCGAGTGTTCAGTATCAGCTTGCCAGGGAATCTAACGAGAACCTACGTGAGTGTACGTGTATATGTGTTTGTGTGCATGCAATATATGTGTGTGTGTTCGTAGGTGTATTTATGTGTGTGCGCGTGCCCACGCGTGTGTGCGTGCGTACGCGCGTGTGTACATGTTTGTTCTTTATTTGTTCTTTCTTTATTCATCCAGGACAAAACTTATCACCAGAAAGCGCTTTTCAAAGTATTCCACGGAGGAGGGGGGATCTTTTGAGTTTTCGTTGCCTGATTGTGTATTATGACTGTTACATCACCTTTTTTTTGCAGCGTTACTTGTAGAATTTCCAGTGGTCTCCGTATAGCCTAATTTTGGAGCAAATGCTTTACTTTATTTCTACCAGCTGACATTTTAGATGTAAACACCATTTGTAGGATGTGATTCTGTACAAAAACCTTGTCTCTGGACTTTTCTGTGCCTTTGTACACACTATGTCGGCAGAACTGTGTTGATAAGGCCACACCAATTTAATTTGTTGGTTCTGGAATTTTTTCAGAAAAAATATGAACGAAGCGACAGGGCGAAAAAACAGATCTAGGCATCCTATTATACCCCTAAATACTACAATAGGAGCCATGCATAAAGTCAACACAACAGGCTGGGTTGA